GTCATTACATTATTTTTATAAATGCTAGTTTAATCAATGATTGGTAATAATCAACTTAAAAAACCAAGTCAGTTAAGCGATGAAAGAAAAATAATTAATAAATATATTTATGTGATCCAATATGAAATCATCCATAATATGTATTAACCACTTTACTTGCAATTTGGTTATTCTTCTTTGTTTTTGTCATTTTGCTAAGGATTTTTCTTTTTTATTATAATTTGTCAGGTTATTTTTAAAGCTCATATATTTTTAAGTGTATGTAATGGACAGAGTAAAGTATGATGAGTAGTAACACCAACTTTTTACGAGTAATATATATGTCTTCAACTTTCCAAATAAAAAGTTGTAAGTTAAGATTAAACGTTTATGAATATACTTTTTATTTTTGTCTAAAACCGTGTATCTTTAGAGAGTACCTCTATATTCCATCATGAAACGAGTCTCACATACAATTGAGAAAATTAAATTTTATGAGTTAAAATTTTTAAAGACTAATAATCACATTATATATAATACGAATATCAGTTTAAAATGAGATTAGAAAAATGTAATATATATATAATTTCTCCACATAAGACAATGACTATTAATCTTGTCTTATTTTGTTATTCTTCGTGAAACATATCACGATAATCAAGCAAAACGAAGGAGTAATAAATTAATGATTAGAAAATTTATCCCACCCAAATGTTACACAATTAAAAATTTATATAAAGTAGTAGAAGATACTAAATTGTTTGCACACATGAGCTGCTATATATTATTGATATCATATAAGAGTAAAAGATTCTAAGTATTTATTTTGTTAAGTTTCAAATTTGTAGAATAAACATACATAGTTTAATAAATTAATTATATGGTAAGTACGTGTGGTGGGTGTGCATAATGCAATAAATATAATACATGGTAATGATATTCCCCTATGGAGGAAACATGTTGGACGGTCTCTGAACAATCAGAATTTGCAGCATTTGGCTTTAATGTGGTATCATATGCCTTTATTGCTTATCATACCCACCAAATCCTATTAATAAATATCTCCTCCAACCAAAAATTTGTGTCATAAACTCATCATTGTCTAAATAAGTGCGGGTGAGTTTGCTTTAATTCTTTTTTTAAAGTTTAAAATTTATAAATAATATAAAATATAAAAAAATGATTGACAATATTATGAAAAATGTTGGGGTCTGCTTGGGTTCTTCGACCTGTTTTCAAAGAAGTGAAAATTAAAAAAATTTAAAAACATTCTACTTGGTTCAGTCTTTTAAAAACTCAATTATAAATGACTGTTTTTATGGAAATTTATTTTATAGTTTTCTAAAAATTATTTTCTATTTTTTGAGTTATTAGAGTAACTCCAATGGACTGTCAAATGGGCTGTCAATTTCAAAATATAGCAGGTGAGTTTAACACGGGCTCTCCTATTAAATGGGCTGCCAAAATATAATTTTATCAAATATTTTACCAAATATAACACAAAATATAGCTTATACTATTGCCTCTGCCAAACTGAAATATATGGGTTTTGAACTTCTGATTCTTGTAGATTTTGTAGTTTGCAGTTGTAGAGAGAGAATGCATTTTGTTGTTTAGGAGAGAGAGAGATACATAGGCACATAATTAATTATTAGTCCCGTATCATAATCATTAATCATAAACTCATCGCAGAATAATTTACAAAAATTGTGAAATGTAAACTTATCCATACAAGTGCTTTAAAATAAAATAAAAAAAATTTACTCCGTATTTATATAAGATATGTATTTTTTATTTTATTTTTCCAGCACTGTTTGTATAAAATATGCATCATCCAACTAAATATATATAATTTAAATGTATATATATATTTTTTGAAAGATAAAAAAATATCACATAAATATGCACAAGTACATCACACTACAATAACTGAAAAGATCAACATTTTTTTAAGTTGGCATGAAAAAATAAATATGATTTATTAATCTTTTCATATGTCTACCAAATGTACATTATTAGGGCAAGTTTAGAGTCAGAACAAGAATAGAGATGGAGGCGACTGGGGAGGCTGAGAGGGCAAGTTTTGCTCTAAAATTAATTTTTTTTTTTTGATTTAGGGTTACTAATAATATAATCAAATATATCATTTATATTTTATTTATTTTTAATAAGGCAAATAAACTAAATAAAATATAAACACTCACAACAAAATTGGTAATTGTGAATGGTAGTTGAAAAAGAATGGTTGTCGTATAAAAAAAATGACATTTTGGATGAAATGTACCATTGAAGCAGAATTGTTAAAATATAGCATTTTAATATTGTAACTTTTCTCAAAATATAGATTTGGCATGCAAAAATAGCATTTTATATTAGAAATGATCTTAGACAACTGTTTTCAGAATTACAAGCCAAATAGACTTCGCTTTTAAAGAACAATATTTTATAATTCTCTAAAAATAATTTTACATTTTCTAAGTGTTTTATATCATTTTAGCAACCGTTTTTATTTCATATTTCTGTTTTATTGTGTGGTGTGTTGAATGGTGATTGGAAGCTTGTTTGCTAATCTAAACTTTGATGTAAAATTTTTGAAAATAAAAAAAAATATATATATATTTGATAAAAAAGCATCGCAATATTAAGTAATAAAATGGCTAGTTAAGAAAAAGACCGCCAACAATTGTTTTTGAATGACAAAAGTTACCAAAAGCATTGCAATATTTTTCTATCAGTACGCCACCAATACACCACCCGCAACACAAAACACGAAGTAATAACATCTCTCAAACAAGCCCTTAGAAAACCAAATCAAACATGCCATTCTTTTTCTGGCAGAGGCCAGAGGGTCAATTATTCTAAGATGAGATATATATAAATATATATATATATTTGGGAAAATGATAAAAAGCTTTGCATAATAACAATATTAATTGGTCAACAATTTGAAATGAAAAGCAGGCAAATTAGTTGTTGTAATAGCTTTTTCACCTTTTCTCTGCTCTGGCGCGTATTTGACAGTCATTCAGTAAAGCACCATTACAACAAGCTCACTGAGACCTTGTAGGTGGCACTGCAAAGTTCAAGAAAGGCTAGAAAAGGAAATGAAAAGAAATCTTAAAGAAGCAATGAGAGAGAAATGGTGCGACTTTTGCTACCAAACTTATAATTTTTAAGGTCACTATAATGTAAATACCTTTCTTTCTACAATTATCCAAATCTTTTTTTTTTTTTCTTTTAAAAAATGCTTTTGTTTTCTTGAATTTTATTTTTTTTAATTTTTTTTTTCTTCTTAATTAGTATTTACACACACGCTTGAACTTGAACTCGTTTCTTTAAAAAAGTAAGGACTTGATGAAAATTGTGTTCAGAAAACTAAATCAAATATGGCCCAAATGGTCAAATAATTGGTCAAAGATTCTGCTGAACCAAACAAACCTAATTTAATTACTATAATTACAATAATAATAAAAAGAAGAAGAATTGTTATGAATATAGAAGACACAACAAATGAATCATGAAATTCTCAGTATAAACAGAATCACCATGAAATAAAACCCTCCTGTATTGATCATTGGGGATCAAAATTGTTGTGTAAGTGATGTAATATTATTACTTGAATAGACATGAGAGAATCCAAGTTCCACATAAGATCCTTTACTAATGTAAATGTTTATTTGATTGTGCTCGTATGAAGGTACAATATTCCACAACAAATCGAATGTAAAATTTGATATCTTCCAAAGTTGTACCATAAGCACTGTTACAAGTTACTAGGGCAAATTTTTTTTTTACTCGAAGTAGGTTGAAATGATCCTGATTCTTGGCAGGGGGTATGTTATATCCCGTTGACCAAACTAATATTTCCATGGTATCTAACTAAGGCTGCAACTAAAAACAGTGCCCTTAAACAGATCTGAGGACTCTGCAGCCTCAGGAAAATCAATGAAGATGAAGCAAATAAATGCGCCAAAAAATAAATTTCAATACATTCAAAAATTTTAGAAAAATGATTCTTAGACCCCTATTTGTATAGTAGTAGAGTACAAAAACCCTATCGGTTAGATTCTTCGGCCACGCAAATAGCCGTAAATGGCATTACCCAAAGTTTTAAAGTGTTAGAAATGAGACAATGACTAATGCGCATACATGGATGCATGGTAATATAATACAAACATATGAGGTAGGGAAGTATATGTAACAAGCTCCCAATAAACATAGACTAATAATTAAAAACACTAACAATTAAAAATTAGACAGTTTCCCTTCTCAAGAAAGAAGGAAAAGACCTTGGGGAAGGAAAACAGTTGGTAATTAATTAAAATAGCTTTTTTATATTTTGTCATTATTCTGTTCTTGGGAAGAAGAGAAGGAAACAAAGAAAAATGAGGAAAGAAACAAAAAAGAAGGAAAGCCTGTTGGGTTTTGCAAATCTAGGATTTCCATCAACATTGGTGGGTCATGGTGTGCTCACTGTAACCATTGATTCTAGGGTTTCTGCTTCCAAACACAACCTCAGTCCCAATATTTGCTAAATATTGTCTTCTTCTTCCATATGTCTTACAAGTTCAGCTAAATGTGATGAATAATATATATATACACACATACATAAAAATTACACAATTACACACAATTTACAAAGTTACGCCCTCGTAAACATTACTCCCTCTATTTTGAGACAGAGAGAGTATTATTTCTAAGCAGTGACAAAACATTCTAGTGATCCCTTTCAATTATGGGTGGTGGTCCTACAAGTTGTGTCAATGAAAACCCAAATTTAATTTCAACAATCATAAGCAGACCAAACACAGCAATCAAATTGCAATAAATTAACAATGGACCAGTCTAATTCAAAGAACAATTCAATTATACCCCTCCTAAACATTCTAGTGATCCCTTTCAATTATGGGTGGTGGTCCTACAAGTTGTGTCAATGAAAACCCAAATTTAATTTCAACAATCATAAGCAGACCAAACACAGCAATCAAATTGCAATAAATTAACAACGGACCAGTCTAATTCAAAGAACAATTCAATTATACCCCTCCTACTCTAGAACACCAAACAAATTAAAAGGGAAACAATCACACGGGTATATTGTCACACTATAACTTTGTAAACAATAAAAACATTGCAATTCAACACAAATCTACAAAAGAAAGAGAGAGTGTTTCACTCTGTGCTCTACAAAATTAGGAGGGGGTTTCAAATTCTTTCATCCCTAAAAAGACCTTGGGAATACAATTCAATACCATATATGTTTTTATGTCCCAAACCTCCTCACTTCCTTTCTCTCTTCCGTACACAAATTAATAAAGTGGTGAGCGGTGAGGCGTACCCTTCCGGCGATTCATCATAGCCACCGAGATTTCCGTCACCGACGAATATATTGGCCGACACGCCGCCCGAAAAGCCGACAAGCTGCTTCGCTTCTTCCTCACAATCTCCGTTGTGGCGGTGCAAGCAACAGTCCTGCAATCGATTCCACCGCCGGCGGTGGCGGTGGTGCCGCTGCCGCTCGACCCGGAGGACGTCCTGAAAGACCCGGACGGTTCAAGAACCGAGTCTGGCGTCATTTGGCCGTCGTCCAAGCCCGGTTCAGGCAACGTAAGGTACTTGCACTCGAAGATATACTTTGAGAGCCCACCCGCAGTTCTCAGTATATGTTGAAGCTGTGAGAAAAGCAAGACCGACCCAGATGAGAATAGGTGAAATTAAAAAATGGGTAAGAGAGAGAATCGGAAATCATGGAGGTTTTGCCGAGCTGTCAGAAAATTAGGGTTTGGGGGGGTATGTACCTTGCAGGAGAGAGAACAGAAGATGTATGGGTGTTGCAGACCCCTGTCGCAGGTGATGCAGATGTTGCCGGAGCCTCGGAATGGCCGAGTCTGTGGCCTTTGATTTAAAAATACCACTTTAGCACTGTTTGTGGTGTAAGACTGTAAAAAGAAGAAAAACCCATTTAATTTTGTTTTAAAAGAGTATTTAAAGAACAACTCAGCAATGGTACTTTTTAAAATTTGAAATTCTTACTTGAACAAGAGCGCAGTCCATCAATTTCTCAGCATCACCCAACCTTATAACATCATGGTACACATACCTTCTTATCTGAAATCAAAATTTGAAATCATACATACATATATAGAGAGAGAGAGAATTGAAGAAGGTGAGATGGGGTTTAATTAATTTGATGATTTATGTTGGGAAATTAAAGAGAGAGACCTGTAAAAGTCGGTGAGAGCGATGAGGAGACAAGCAGTGAGGGCAAATACTCTCGCAACAGTCCAAGCAATAAACGTTTTTTTCATTCTTCTTTGCCTCTTCATGAATTACACAGGCGTTGAAGAACTTCTCACTCAGAAGGACTTCAAGCCACCGAGGAAGATGTGAATAATCCAACTGTGAGCCAAAACAACAATTCAATAAGTTTTCAAATACAAATTCAGGCACCCAAATAAACCCAGTTCTAGAGAGAGAAAGTAGACAGAAAAAACTCACCATCTTCAATTCGTTATTGAACTTCGGCAGAGGGAGAGAGAGAGAGAGAGGCTAATACGGCTAGGTTTTATAGAGAAAGGACTAGTGGAGTTGCCATCACCACGAAACAAGGATAGAGAGAGAGAGGGGAAAAGAAACGGCGCCTGCAACTGATACTACTGCTACTGTTACCAATGAAATAACAGGAGTAGAGAGAGACACACACAGAGAGGGGGGCTGGCCTCACTTTAAAGAAGGGGTGGTGGTATATGTACTGTAGTGTATTGTGTACTGTAGTATTATATTTTCTATATAAGCATATATATATACATTATATATATATATATATATATATATATATATTCACAGAACAAAATATCCACAATTTGACATCAGAATTGAATAGAGAAAGCAAACTTCTCTGAGTTCTCTCTAATCCATTTAAAGGGAGAAAAAAAAAAATTTTGAAGTTGTGATTCAATTATAATGCCATCTTTAAATCATGAAAATAGCAACCTTTCATTACATTACATGTTTATAACTCTGACCATATGGTTCTCTGTCTATGGTTGGCTTTCTCTCTCTGCTGGCTAGTCTCTCTCCTCTCTATGCTCTCTAATGTGACAAGACCAAAGATGCTGACTTTTCTCACTTCTCGGTGAAAAACAGTAAAAAAGATAGGGGAAGTAGCTAGGGTTTTAAAAGGTGACCATTTTTGAGATGACAAATGTATGCATAATCTTTGTGGGATATGTGATATGTCCAAATCGTCCTCCAAGAGATAAGTAAAAGACAGCAAGTTTAGCTGGAAGAGTTATCAGGTTCACTATTGTTTGTTATGGTTATTATCATTTGAAATATTTTGAATTTTCTTAGGTTAATTTTGTGGAGGAAGAATATTTTGATGGGGAAATTATAAAATCATTTCATGTTATTAGTCCCATTTTTTTTTTCCTTCTTTTTTTATTTAAAATTTTTTTTAATCTTGCAATTTAGACCGAAACAATTAATCGGTAAGGCTAAAACTCGAACAAAATAGTTTTTAGCCATTTTATTAATGGATTCTATGTCAATACATCAAACGATTACAACTCGAATTTTTTAGTCATTTTAGCAATGAATCCAATGTCGTTGCATCATACGGCTAGAACTCTTTCAACGTGCTGTTTTTATTTCACTTGACCAATCATTCTATGGTGTGATTTGAATTTTCTATGTTTAAAAACTTAATATTTGTATAGGAATAATATTCTGATGGGGGAAATTATAAAATCATTTAATGTTGTTAGTCCCATTTAAACTCTATGTGAATCCAGCAATTTGGACCAAAACAATTAGTTGAGAAGGCTAAAACTCGGACAAAATAATTTTAACTATTTTATCATTGGATTCCATGCATCAAATGGTCGAAATGGAACAAAATAATTTTAGCCGTTTTATCAATGGATTCTATATCAATGCATCTAACAGCTACAACTCGTACAAAATAGTTTTTACTGTTTAATAAGTAGATTCCTTATCAACACATCAAATGGCTACTTATTTCACTTCACAAATCATTTTATATGGTATTTCAAAGATATATATATATATATATATTATCAATATAGTATTTCAAAGACACATTTTATAATTATAGAAGGTTGCTGTTACTAAATGTAATTAAATTTCTAGTCAAAGTAGTTATTGAGGGGAAGTGTGAAAGCACTAAAAAGGGCACAGAATTGGACACCCCTTCACCATAATGGAGCCAGGGCCAGCTCTTTTGTTTTATTTCTTCTTTAGTAATGGTCATGCATTCCAAAGCAACACCTGGGAACCATACTAAGCACTATTTTCATATTTCTATGGAGTGCACAAAAATTTCGTCTACAATTTCACCACATGTTCAAGGACAAGGAGATTGACAAACAAATAAAGAAGTCCATTACTCATTACTTACCTAAAAAATCAATCAGAATAGATAACGTTAACCTAAAACATGTGTCTGATGACATGTTAGAGCATTTCATTATCTCGATCATATAATTGTCGAGTACCAAATTTCGTTTTACATATTCAATTTTACTTCACTTTGTTTGCTACGGTTCTATTAAATTCTCTACAATGAACTTGAAACGAATGAAATTAGCCGGAGTTATAATTTCAATAGCATTCCAAGATTGAATGCCCAATATTCTTTTAAAGTTGATACTCCGTATTTATTTTGAGTTGCTATACTAAATAGTCATTTTTGAGTCATTAACATTAAAGCATTAGGATTATTAGTTTAGAGTTGCACCTAGACCTCTCAATGTAGCGGATCCTAATCCGGATTCGATCCGATTAGTCGGATACGGATTGAATAAAAATTTCGATAACTCGATTACGATCCGAATCCGATAATCCATAAGCCTAACAAATTGGATATGAATTATGTTGATCCGATCCGATAATAATCCGATCCAATCCAAATAAAATTATATGTATAAATAATTATATATAAAATTATTTATTAATAATTTTACACACACACACACATATATATCAATACTCATTTCAGATTTGTATTAAAGGTAACCCAAAACTTTTTATATATATATATATATATATACAATAGTGTGGTATTGTCATCAACATGCTAATAAATCTCTTAATATACATACTAATAATATTATACTCTTTATTCATTAACAAAAAAGAAATAATATTTTTTTTTCTTTTCCTTTCATATTTTACTTATCTTTTGTTTTATATCTTTTTCTTATAATCATTCTTTTTTTTTTTAATTCTCTTTTAACATTAATTTATATATATATATATATATAATAAAAAAAATCTACATTTTTATCGGATTGAATATCCGTTTATTAACAAAATTGGATTTGGGATTAACTTACAAAATATTCATTGGATTATCGGATCAGATCGGATTGAATCAACTAAAATATTTATCGAATTCGGATCAAATTGGATCAGGCCTGATCCGATCCAAATCCAATCCATTTATAGGCCTAGTTGCACCCACATTAATTTAATCCGTTTACAGACTTACTATTAGGACGCTTTAAAAGTGGATGGGTGTCAAGAACTCGTGATAGGTGTATTTTTTTTTTTTTTTTTTTCTTCATACATATATATGTTATTTTATGCAGAAATAATTATTTCAACTAGTTTTATAATTACTCAATTAATGTAAAAAAAAATGTAGTAATTATGGGAAAATGAAAGCAAATTGAGGTAAGTGGTTTGACTTTCCGGTGAAATAGCATTTGGAAATTGTGTTAAAATTGTAGTGTATTCTTATTTGGAATTTGGTGAATGAAGGAACACAAAATTATGGAGAATACATCTCTATGGTTCAAGTTGCAAGGAAAATTCTTTTTAGTATTCTCAAAATATGATCGTTTGTGAGTGGTTATGGTGTAAGTAATGTCCAGTAACTTTCCCTCTTCTAATTAGTCTGTATAATTGTAATTGTATTCAATATAAATATTACGAATCATTATTTTGGTTCTTATATTTGTAAGTAATTATCTTTTTTATACTTTTTCTATTTATTGCTTACTGCTTAACATATTATTTTATAATGATATATATATATATTTTTTGCCTTTTGGTTTGAATAACCTACGTTTGTCATGTTAGTAGTTTTTTTTTTTTTTTTTTTCAAATACACATTGTCCCTTAAAATGAAATCTTGCTTGTGCCTGTAAGATTGTCTCATTGTTATATACGTAAATAATAAGGCATGATTGGTACATCAAATCAACTTTATGCTAATTATAATGTATTTCTTTCCAATACATATATATATATATATATATAAACACTTTGTTTATTATAATGCATTCATAAACACCTTAAATCAGTAGGGACAAGGGTAACAATGACCTATTTTTCTTGACTATTTCCGGAAGAATATATTGTAAGTAGAAAAAAGAAGGTAAATCAAAGTGGAGACAAAGAGTGAAATTTGGTTTTGGCATATGAGTGTACCCAAAAAGAGAGCAGAGTAGGGCAGCTCTGGCTGACCTGATCACTATAGTACTCCAAAGCTGGGTAAAGTTAACTAATGACATGCATAGACTAAAGTTATCCCAGTTTTGCCAAGTTTAGAGTTTGTGATATGAAAAATTGGGTCACGCGTGGTCAAAGATGGAGTCCATTACAGATATATATATGTGTGTGTGTGTGACCCGGCCACTGTATTGTACAAACAAGTAATACTTGTATTCATTGAAAAAAATAGAAACAATTGAAACTTGTGAACATTGCCTGAGATATATATACTAGTAAAAAGTTTCTTCCTATGCTTGAAATTTGTGTAAAGGTCAAGTTTAGCCTTCATAGTCTGGTACACTTGCGCATTTTTAGGGGAACCTTTGTTCCAACCATTGGTAATAACATTTGCGTTTTTAAGCACAAGTTGGACGTTGAAAATTATTTTCTTGTCCATGTTCACATTTGCAAATTGTGTTGGAACTTGGAACACTTGAAACCTTAGAATTTCTCGTATATGTCACAATTCAATGCAACCGAAGGGACACATGTTATAATAATTATTTATTATTATACATATATAATAACATATATATATATATACTTTCACAGTAACAAGAAATAAACTCACATACGTTTTTGCCCACACCAAGATTGACTTAATTATTTCATAACTAAGAAAAAATTGAATCAAACTTATCCGGGACTATTAATAATTTCTCCTTTGCCAACAATAAAATATAGTAATTATATAGAACTGGTCTCTCCTTATGCATGTAACCTCCTTGATTTCACAATGGTGAGAGACTTGTAAACACATGCTCACCAGGACTTGAACAGGAGAAGTTCAAAGTGTAGGATAACACAAAGATGGAAGTAGTCTAATATTTAAGCAACCTGATTTGAGTTTGACAAAAAGCATAATCAAGTGGCATTCTCCGTTTTGCTTCTATTGGAAATATTTGGATTAAACAAAGCACTTCACCCTGTGTGTGTCGAGACCGAGACCAAGACCGCACTTGGTAGATAACCAATCCTCTTCGGTCACCAATCTGCTCACTTGAGGGTCATAACCAGATGAAGCCATTAACATGAATCACCAAATTGATTTATAGTGGCATCACAGGACAAAGTATTAGTGATAATCAGAATTAGGTAGAAGCCAAAGCTACGAAAATAAAGTTGATAATACAAAATTTTCAATGTCATCCGTGCCTTCCCCTTAATTCCCCTGTTGACAATTAATTAATATACAAAAATACTCCTATAAAAGAGTCTCTGAAGCTGTGTGGTAGCAGGTAAAAGGTTCGAGTTTGAGAAAGA